AATTATAGCCGTCTTTAGAGAAGCGAAACTCCGCGGATTCGTGAATACACACGCGGAGGAGAGAAACGTGGGCCGGCTTATGCGAGATGCAACTCCGTGAGTGGCACATTCTCTCCCTCTAAACAGCAATCCGTCCCGACTATTAGCGGACAAGTTATTTCAATGGGGACGGGAAAACGAGCGCGATTTCGAGACAACGTGCGAACACGTCGTCGCGCGTGAAAATTATTAATGATTTTAAGAATTAATTGTACGCGACAAAATTGCAGATAACAAATACGCGTTTAATTGCTTTAACTCACTTGTAATTGTTTCAACTCACTTTTCATTAATTTTGTCATTATTTCTAGCAATTTGCAATGTATTTTAAATATCTGTTAAATTTTCCGAAAATCCGAGTAAAAGAACAAACACCATCTTCGTCGTTACAATATTCGATTCTTTTTTACAAGCGTGTACAACAAAGTTTTAATTTGTGTTACATAATTTCCCGGCGAAACGGAGGAACGATTTCGTTCGTCTCCTTTTTTTTCGACGTATGCTGAAAAAGTGTTTCTCTTAAAATAGAACATGCGACGTAATTAAAAGAGCGTTATTAAAATTATCGCAATCGATCCGACGGGCCAGGTGAACTCGATACAGGTGCAAGCGCACGAGAATAACGCAGCAGATGGCTCGCTACGTAGCGCGAAATCTTTGTTCGCATCTCTCAAAATTTCATTTTCACATCAAGACCGCTCATTTGCTGAACGTACATTAGTAAACACAATGCGAATGATAACGTCGCGTTGCGTAATTTCCGTGTTTTCAACTCTCGACGATTATATTTGTATTACGCTCGATACGTTCTCCGAATAGACTCCGATTTGCTTTGCGCGCAGAATTTACGCATCGCTTACACATGTAAATAACTACGTCATTTTTGTTGATCCGTTACAAAGATACTAGATTAATTCGTTACGTACGTACGTTATTGTGTTCGCCGAAAATAATCGCACGCTAGGAGAGACATTGTTTTTTGTGATTTTCTTCTCTTTTGCGCAGTAATTTCATTCAAATATAAAAATACATCGCGCACTAGTCGTTTGTCTTGTGCCGCTGTGTATCTCTTTCTTCTCTTTACGTTAATTAATTTTATTTAATTTATTTCACATCTCTTGTTCACATTCAGCACACGTTCAATTCTCTCTCACGGTCACGAGAACTTCCTCAAAACACGCAAAAATCGCGCGCTCTCTTCCCCCAAGTTTTCATTTGCCAAAGTGGATCTTATTGATCGCGAAAAAAAATGCACGCACGTTTCAACGGGCAACAAGAAATTTAATCGCTTGTCACACGTGTCGCAAACACGCGCGATTATACACTTTGAAAACATTTTCTCCGTGCGAACACACAGTCTTATTCAACGCGATGACGAAGATAACAAGGACGATCTTGGCAAGGTCGATTAGTCACGAAGACTCGCTTGTTATCGCACATACGCGTCATTGTTCTTCGTAATTCCCTCGCTCGCGACTCAACCTCGCGAGAAATCGTCGATAAACTTCTGCAAATCCGTTTCGAAAATCGGCGCGAGTCGACGATCGAAACGATCTCGAGATGATCGATAATCCCGTGCGTCGTTCGTCGTAACCTAACGACGAATATTTAACACCTGTTCGCTGAGAACTGCGATAAATTCTGTTACTTTAAATCATTAATAAATTCTCAAAATGATTTCTCGTTTCCGTGAAACTATGAAGTTTATTTCGCGTTTTGATTTCTCTTTGCATCTTCTGAAACTATTCGACTTAATGGAGAGCCGATGAGGCTATTTTTTATCAAAAATAATCGGAGAACGCAAAAGTCGTCGAATATTAAAAACGAATACTAAACTAGTATTAAGAATATTAAACTAGTATTGCGTACGCGCATATATTATCGCTCGAGGACGAAAGAGAGAGAATTCAAAATTTCGAAACATAATGGGGGAGAAAAAAACAGAATTTACTGAAACAGCACAAACAACATTAGTTGCTACATTGTCGCCAAGAAAAACACTGGACTAAGATTATTGAACTTTTGATTTTCCCAACAAACTGTTTTGTCAATAAACCAAAAAAAAAAAAAAAAAAAAACAATTCAGCAAGGTCTTTCCGCTGGTCGTATAATAGCAAAACTTTGTTTTCTCCGTGACGGTTTTGCAATTCGTATGATGTTCGGGGTGACGCGCGACACGATTGATTCAAAACCGCGGGTAAAACATTTATCGGGGATATATCACGGGTGGATATAGCGTGTGTCTCTTCCGAACGCTCGTCGATTCAGACCGATCTCTCCAAGAGAGACGTTATGCAAGAACCGCCTCGGACTGGCCGTGAACTTAACGGCGTCGTTGTCGTCGTCGTCGTCGTCGTCGTCGTCGTCGTCGTTGTCGTTGTCGTCGTGGTTGAACGCGCGGTCGACGTTTTCCTTTCCACGCACTTTACTACACACACCGCGTTTCGTGCGCTTTGATGTACATAAGCTCGAAAGAAAACGCGCGCGATATTCAGGACATTCACACTCGGTCGCATTTTCTACGTCGGGAAAAATACTCGCAACGTCACGAAAAGTTTAAATGAAAATAATTACTAATTGTAAAAAAATAAAAAAAAAATGAGATAAGGACACACTTTTGAATCGAATTAAAACCGATGTTTAGAATAATTCAAGCAGAGAAATAAGGTAAGAGACTTTCTGAAGAAACTCTCGGGCTTTCCTAACTTTCGCTGAATTATCGTCTGTCTTTTTCTCTTTCTCGCCCTCGCACGCTCTCGTCAGGTATATTAATAGAGCTGAACGATTATCAAGTATATATCTAGAGACGCGCGAGCGTCGTGCGTCGACCTATCTCGGCTACAACTCACTCTCTGCTCGCGCGCGCACCCGAATGAATCGTTCTTAACCTTTAATTCTTCTAATTGCATCTCGCAACACGTGTGTGTATTTGTTTTCGCGTAAATCTTCAGTTTCTGCGAAACTAAACTCTCTTGATAAAAGTTTATCTCGTTTATCGAAATTTATCTGATGTTCTCCTACGCGCGAAACGATTAATGCACATCGCATCTCTGGTTATCGTGACACGCTGACTGTTGCTTCTCGGGAACATTTTGATTCTCTCGTTTCTCAGAGAAATTCATCATTGTTTCATTGAAATATCCGGATATCGGCAATAACCGCGTTCTGAAAATTCGTTCCGCGCGACAATAAACGACGCGGATCGAAAGACTCGCGTGTTTTCGACAAATCCGAGATTTCGCGAGCTTTGTCACGGAATTAATCACTGAGAGACACTCTCTCGAATATAGTAAAAGGTGGAGTCAAAGGTGAAACACAAATCATTAGATTTTTTATTTGTTTAACAAACGAGAGAAACTATGTGCGCGCGTAGAGCGACTAATACGTTGAAATCACATGTTTCAATGTCAAAGAACCTGAGCGGGGAGATAAAAGCAGACAGATGTTTATGAATCGTTTCGCGCCAAGGGGTCAATAATCGCGTTCTATTCAACACACAAAGTGATAAAAAGAACGAAACTTGTAGAGAAGTGAGTAACGCGCGCGGGAAGAGCAAGAAAGCGATTGCTCTCTTGTTATTGGGGAAAAAAAACAGAAAATCAATACGCATCTGCGAGATATTCCGCTTCTCTTTGAGTTTGCTTCTTAATTAGAAAAAAAAAAACTCTGGGAAAAAAGCGCGAAATATTATAATGCGCTTCTTTCATCGCGTTATCGTGTTCTATACGCGCGTCGTAAGAATTACATAAAAGCGCAATAATTACATAAAATCACACACACATCGCGCACATTTTATAACATCATGTAAATAAACAAAATTATCACTAAAATATTAGTAAAGAAAAAAGTAATGAAATTATTTTCTTAACGTTCCAAGAGTCTCACGTAAATTGTTCGAGTCCTACATGATAAATTGTTACGTGCAAAAAGGTTGTTAAAATTATTATTATTGCGTATTTGCTTAAATTGCTCTCTCTCTCTCTCTCTCCCTCTCTCTCTCTCTCTCATATGTTTATGTTTGCATTCGTCTCTCTATTATATAGATCTTCAAACGTGCCGCGCGCTTCAGCAAATGATCTATCCGTTTTAATCCGCGGATTATATAAAGCAAACTCTCTCGGTGCCTTCACCACCGACAAGTATGACTTTATGAACGCTAAACGCTCGTGATTTTGATTAATTCGCGCATAGTATCTCTCACACACGTGATATATAAACTAGCGCACACTTCTGGTTTACCGACTCGGCTAAAACGTTTATTCAGATTAGATGTTTCGTAATAATCATTATGTAACCGCACGTGTGTGTCGTGAACCTTCGCTCTCGCGAATCAAAAACGGCACCGTCTGTTCGATTTATCAGGAATCGAGAACATCTGCTTCCGAACGATTGTCATCGTCCTCTCGCGCGAATGATGACTTGATTTTTGAAAAACGCGAATCGATTCCAATTTGTTGTTTATTTTATTTTACGCAGAGAAAAACGTGACGTGACGCGCAATAAATTGATTTTGACAGCAACGTCGCCTCTGTGACGAGCGATACACAAAATAATTTGAACGAACGGCATAAAAAAAAAAAAAAACTCGATTAGTCGAGTCTGTGCCGCGTGACTCATAATCGTTACGTAATATCCAAATAATACGCCACCCCCGGATATTGCGCCACGAGTTCGTATAAACTCTCTTAACCGCCGCCTCCATTAACGTTCTCATTCAGTTACTTTTACGTCCATCGACTTCAATTATCTCGCTACTACTTACTTAGTCGGCGCTCGTAATGTATTTATCAAACAAAATGTGTCGCGCAATTCCACATATTTGCATCAAAGTTCGAAGTTATTCTCGTCATTTTGCGCAACAAGAAGAGAGCTCGGTAATCACATCGTGTTACCGATAAAAGGAAACGAACGCGAAATAAAACCTCATCATTGGCGGGATAGGCGGCGGATTTTTTACTCACCGAGATGAACCGCCAGGTTGTATCTCTCGAGCGCCTGACCCAGGTGACCCTTTCTCAGGAGGATATCACCCTCGTGTCTGGCCCGACTGGCCTCCAATTCGCGTGGCCACCATCTTTCCACGAGTCTCTGCACGAGCACGTTTGTCTCACCCGCGGAAACGATCTTCGCCCCGCACACCCGACAGCTCTTCGCCGAGTCCGCGCAGTTCCTGCAGTACGTATGACCGCAACCGGCGGTCACCGGCTGGCATAGGGTGCCTTCGCACAGCGGACACGCGAAGGACGTCTCGGTTCTCCGTCGGGAGGTCGTCCCGGTACCGACCACATCCTCGAGAAGCGCGCTCGCCAGATGCTTGAGTCTCTCCATCGGCACGGAGGTCGTGGCCAAACACCTGGAGTAGATCCCGATGGACTCCTTTACGCGGCCGCACTTGGTCAGAGAATCGCCGTAACCGAGCAGCACCTCGCACGTCGGTCCCTGCTGTTTCAGGCATCGCTCGTACAGCTCGACCGCCAGGTGGTAGTTGCGCGAGGTGAACGCCTCCTCGGCGAGCTCGGTCATCGCGCGTTGTGTCCGCGTGTGTGTTCGCGCGCGTACGTATCACTTTATACACACGAGAAAAAAAAAAGTTGAACTCTATGGACTATATAGTTTTCCCCCCTTAGACGCGGAATTTTTCTATGAATCACTCGCGGCAGTATAACGGACGTCCGCACGGTACGAGCCACTCGACCACGCGCATCTTACGAGAATGAGAAAATTTCCCGAAGATCGCTCGTGGGAATTCCGCGACAGAAATTCGCGGAAAGAATCACCGATCACTTAATTCCAACTTTGCGAATCGGACGAGTCACCGGTTGGAAATAGGATTCACCGGAGTAGTCGGAGCGACACGCGTCAAGTTTGACAGTTGATCGTCCACGCGACGACCGCCGTGCTCCACTGGCACGTAACACGCGCGCGACCGCTCTACACGGCACGCTGGCGCACTGAGAACTGACGCCTCCTCGGCTGTCATCGGTCGGCCGAGCCACTGTCAGAGAGTCGGGGGGGCCGATCGGTCGGTTGGCCGTCAGCCGGGGGTGGTGATGACGATATGCTGGCGGCGGCGATTGTGACAGTGGTGGTGGTGGTGATGGTGGTGGTGGTGGTGGTGGTGGCGTCGGCGCAGCGGTGGTGGAAGTGCAGCAGCACGCTCCGAAACACGAAGCCAGCGCCACGCGTGTTCTCTTACGTGGGGTGGGAACCGTGGAGGGAATTACGGAGCACGCTGCGCATAGCTTCGAGTTCAACTCGGAGTTGTGTCTGCCGCGATATGCGTAGGTGTTGTTGCCGCACACGCTCTGTGCTCCCACTCGACCGGGCGTCGTCGCGTCACGTCTCCTTTGTCTGTCGGAGTGCCTCCTGATCTCGGGACCGCTCAGACGATTGAGCAAATTGTTATTGTCGCGCACTGTGGCGCGGTTAGGATTTCTTTCCTCATACGAAAGCTTTGTGAACTTGTTGATGCTCTTCTCTGGTCTTTGTCTTTTTTTTTTTTTTTTTTAATGTTCTTCTATGGTTCTTGTCGCGTCCGCTCGCGGTGTTGTGGATTGATAGGAGACTCTTATTGCTTTATCTATTATCGGCTCTATATATCGTAAAGGAAAATATAGCAAGGGTCTTTATTCAGTCTTAAGTTTCTTCGCTCAAGATTAATCTTCCTTTGTCTTGAGGTTCTATCTGATTGTGTGTTACGATCGGGTAAACAATTATTGCTCAATTATAATTTAGAACACATGATTGTTACGTACATTAAATATTACTTTGGTCGTGTTTGTACAATAAATTCTCACTAAATTGCTTTTTTATCGTTTTTTTTTTTTTTTATCTTGTTAAAGTATTTAATGTGTAAATATTTTTGTACGTTAACGTTAAGCATTTAATTATTGAAATAAAATGTTTTTTTAACTCGTCAGTTTTACGTTACCTTCGATCTGAGAACGTTACGTGTACACAACACGGTCTCGAGTTTTCTTATCATCACGCGATTGTTATGAGAGCGCGTGAAAAAATCAACTCATTGAAATGCCCTCTCACACTCTTCGAAAAATCTCTCAAAGTTTATATAAGTACGTCGAGTTACACAAATCCGCACTTTCTTATCGCACGCGCGTACACACACACACACACACACACACACACACACATATATATATACACACGATTACGTAAGTAGTTATCGATATCGCCTTGGCATCAATAGCGTCAGTCAATTTTGTGTTCCGACTTATCGATTAGTCTAACGACGTATCGAGTGTACGATGTTTTTATTTACCTTCGTCATTCTCTTCTTCATCATGCACGCTTTCATTTTCATCGAAAAATATTGTCGCCCTGTTTCACTCGCGAAACTCACCGCTTTCATCTCTTACGGACGGAACCCTCGTTCGAAATATCTTCCCGGACACTTGTTGGCGCAACCTTGGCTCGATCGACCGGGGGTGCTTCTGTGTGAAAACGAATCTCCCTCTGGTCTCTCACCGCCGTGAGTGTTCGATCACGAATTGCGTTGTAACGAGAACGTACGCAACTGCCACAGTTGATGCGCACGAAATGCATACGGAAAATGACGCGCGCGTAAAATAACGCGAATTTTCAATTGGGACGAAATATCCCGCTTTGTATTCGACGGCGGATGTCGGTCTTCTGAGCTCCGGAGTTTTCACCGAGCATGAGCAGTGGCTCCGATCCTGAGGATATTCTCTCTGTCTCTCTCGTTCGTCCGCGATGCGTGTGAGTAACGTGCGTGGTACGTGCGGGGAAGTACGCAGACGCGCCGAAGGGAGAATATTCGAAAATGAAGGGAGAGAACCACTACCTTGTCGTGAGAGCGACAAGGGTAAGGGCGGCGAAGAATGGGAGATCAATATATGGCGGGCTCACGGGGTGATTAACCCCTCGGATCCGCCACCCTATCTACAGGGTGTCTTCCCTCGTTTCTTTTTTTAGACGCGTTGGTTCTCATCGAGCACTTCAAAGATTTGTTTATAAAAATATATTGTTGTATTATTCCACGTGAAAATATTCTGTGAAATTCCGTTCTTCCTCTCTTTCTCTTCCTCTTTCTCACCGTCTTTTCTGACGGTGTTATCTTGGCCACGATGTTAATTCGCGTCGTTTGTCGCGCACGTTCGCCATTTGCAGCGCGACCAAATCGCGCTTAAAAATTATGCGCGTAATCACACGTATGTTGCGTCAGAATGTGAGGTAAATGACAGTCAATAGCTGTCCGTTCGGAATGACAAACGCGCGCGTTATAATGATGCCGCATATATATTCTTACGTGACCATACTCGCGTATTTGGATTACGGCGTTTGCGTAGAGTGCCAACATAACATAACAAACGACGCGATGAAGCCACCTTGTGACTCTCTCAGCAAAATGTGTCACGAATAAAAATATTTGGCGATTGCGTGAGAAATTTCAAGTATCAAGTTTTATTTACTTTTGTTTCACCAATTATGCAAGTGTGTCGTTAAATATCACAGATTGCGTAGCTGAAAAAAGATAAACAGGAAAAATGTAAAGATCGAAAAAAAAACGAAAAAATTGCGTTAAGAATAATTTTGCAGGCAAATGCGCGCGCGATTACAGAAACGAGATAATATTCATAAACGAAATTCGTTTCTTCGAAGCTGTGTGATATTCGAAATTGTTTCCAGTTTCTGCGTAACGGTACGTGTACCGAGAAATAACACGCGTAATACATACCCGTACATCATTGATGATGACCGTACCGCTATACACGCATCGTACGTATGCGCGTATGTAATTGGGCAGCGAGAATTTATGTTAAAAGTGTGTTGTTCCGTCGAGACGGAACGCGGATGTTTTTCAAAAGTAAGTACATTGCTACAAGGAAAATTAAAATTGATAACGATATAAATAAGAAACGAAAACAAGTACACGGTACATCGATACAAATCGAACAAAAACACAAAAGAGAGAGAGAGAGAGAAAGCCGATGATAAGTGTATGACATCTTCAGACGTCTGGCGCGTTGCAACGTCGCAGTCGATTCTGATAAAAGCAAGCACGACAATCGGGGCGGCGCGGAGGATGCGAACGAAGAAAAAAAAAAAAAAAAACACCAATTTCCTCGTCTCGAAATCCGAAAAGCCACCGCGTGCTTAATCTCCAGCTGCATTCGCACGTTTATCTGACGACTTACGTAAGGTATTTGTGTCGTACAAAGAGTCACCTTTGCCGATCGCAAAACAAATTGTTAATCATCGAAATACGGCGTATCTCTTGCCGTTACGTAAATGGTTTACACACGGTCGGTGAGGCGCGCGAGCGACCGCGCATCGTCGTCGTCGTTGTCGTATAACCCGCTCCTTTAAGCGCGGCGCGGACGAAACGCCGGATTTTTTTTATTTATGCATAATGCAAAACCGAATTCGTCGTCAAGTACGTATATACGTACATGTATATTGACGACGTGGCCGAAACGTGATTGTCATCGTTGTGAAAATCGTGTGGTAACATCGCGAAGCCTTCCGAGGCGAGGTTTTTGCGTTAGTATTTGAATCTCGTTCTCGAATAGAATCGCGATTACATACACTAGGAACGTAACGGATAAAAATAAATTCGGTACTATCTGATTATATATTTATCGATAATTAATTGACACGCATAATTTCTTAAATTCATTTCCTTTATCATTTTCTCGCTCCCGTCTTATGTAATATCGTAAAAAAATTTGTATTCCAACGTTTCAGGAGAGAATTATATAAATTTAAAAATTGTCCCGAAAATTCGTCCAGTATACGACAGAAAAAAAAAAAAAAAAAACAAATATCTTGTTATCGTGCTCTTCAGGTTTGTGTAAATCACTGTTGTTTTTCATGTCATCGAAGTAGACGGATAACAAAGTGAACGTGTCGCGCCGCCGGCCATCGCTTTTGTTTGTTAATTTATACGTATACTCTCAAAAGAGACAACGACGATTTATACTTCGCGTCGCGAAGTTGTCTGACATAACAACTCTCAGTCGGCGTGCGTTCGTTATTAAATACGGCGTTTCGCAATTAGGCGTCTTACGTGGCCGCGCGTTTACTAGAGCGTTGAGCAACGAGTTCAATACACACATTTGATCAAAAAACCAATTGATATTTACGGCGGCTCGGATTCCTCGATCGGACCGGATACTCACGACCGAAACGTCTCGCTCGCGGAGAAAGAGAGAGAGAGAGAAAGAGAGAGAGAGAGGTTGCGCCATTTTACAAAAATGCGGTTAGAACTAGCTCTGGGAGAGGAGGTAAAACGCCGTTATGTAAACGGCTCCTTTGCTCCGTCGATTAATTAATTTACAAATAGGAGATCAAAAAAGGAGAAAAAAAACTAAAACGCGACGACGGACGCGAACGGGACGACGTGCGAAACTCGCGCAATCCGGATGCGCGCTAAAACACACATAACTGGCGCAATCTAATTTTTCTCGAGTTTTTATCGTTGTAGAATGTAACGCGAAGTCGGCGAGTAAACACATTTCAAATCCTCGTTTGTTGCGCTAGTTTGACATCGCGCTGTAATGGTTGTTTTTACGAGAAGGAAAATTCCCATTAGTTCATCTAAAATTACACATGCTGCGTAGCGTAATTTGTTATATAAACGCTTTATGCTAAACGATGATTTCCCGACGCGCGTTATCAGAAGAAACACGAGTGGGGCGCGATCGGATCGGAAGGGATCGCGCGTGGACGCACGCGCGGATCCCGCACACACGCGCCGAGGACGTATATGTATATATGTATATATATATATATATATATCTCTTTCTCTCTGTGTGCTAGACGCGACGCGATTGCGTAAACGTGACTTGACCGCGCGAGAACCGCGATCCGGACGGACTGTGCGCGGTCTCAACAAAATCGGTGGACGTCGCGCATAAAAGCAACACGGTGATGACTAAAAATAAATCGGGCT